TTCAAGACGATCCCGGGGGCTTGGACTCATATTGTCATCTTAACAAACTGGATATTAATGTGTCTAAATGTTTTTCTATAAGTTTTACTCGTAAACAACAGCCTTATCGTTTCCATTACAGTATTAAAAACAAAATACACATAAACGAACTTATTGTAATATTTTATGTTTTCTCTCACTACTAACACTTCATGTAAAACTGTTATTACTGTATGGTTGACGCTTCTGTGTTTTTGTTTAGATTTTTAATCAGTACAGATTTCTGTATGTGGTAGCTTGTCAATGACATTCGTAGGCTGGCTGGAGTGGGCTAGATGAGAGTTGCAAAAAATCGGGAGCAGTGGCGTGCATTGGGGGAGACGTATGTCCATCAGTGGACGAGTATGGGTTGATAATGATGATAATGATACGAAAAGAGCATGCTTGTGAATAAGTATGGTACTTAATCGCAAGCCGGTCTGTTTGTCGTGCTGACTATCACATGGTGTAAGGCGTGGGTGAGTAGGGGTTACTCCAGAGCTAGTCTGAACGTGTTCTTTGTGAGCATGCTATTTGATTTGATACTTGATACTTGGCTCGTTATTAACATTATTATTAGGTACTTTTGTAATTATCGAAAGTTTGGAGGATAAATATACCACTCATAACAGGAAACAATTAGTTTACCTGCTAATGTTGTATTTGGACATTATTATCTACATGACACAATATCGTATTGTTGCTGTATAAAATAAATCAATTTTTTTTCTATTAAGAATGTTAGGTATGAAAATCGATAGTACGATTAAAATCCATCTGATGGTTGGATTGGTATAAGGGTCAATATTGTACGGACCATCATACTTTGTATTACTAGGGCAGTGTGATTATTAAATAAAAATTTTAAGAGTGTTATCACAGTATATATATATATACATATATATATAAGCTAAAGCAGTACCGCAACTTGGCCATTTTGTTGAGATATATATATATACCTACGCACCGATTGAGGGTTATGGTTGTCAATCTTAATTTTTGTAAATTAATAAGCTTTTATTTATTAAAACGTTAATTTGGGTTCTTTAATTAAACCATTCATAGATACTATCATAATAAATGCGAAAGTGTGTCTGTTTGTTACCTCTTCACGGTTAACGCTGAACCGATTTAGATGAAATTTCGTATATAGATGCTTTGAGTCCCGGGAAGGACAAAGGATAGTTTTTATTCCACAAATCATCCTCTAGTGTGGTGAAAAGGGGGGCGGAAGTTTGTATGGGAAAACAAATTTTTCACACAGGCGAAGTCCCGGGCACCCATTAGTGATTAAATAATCTAATGAATTGACTAGTTAACAAACAAAATTGTATAATTAAAAAAACCTTTATAATTTTAAGAATTCTTTATTTTTTGTTATTATAAATTACTCACAGAAAAATACTTCCTGTTTCGACACGTTCGAAAAGTTTAAAAAATGTAAACGCTGGTTTTGAAGATGTCGAATTTAAGCAGCCGTATACTGCGCAATACCTTCGTGGCATGTTTAAAAAGTCCTCGGACAGCTCACGCAATACGATTTAAAAAGAGTGACCGCTCGTCCCAACGCGGCACACGAGACTAACGGTCCCCCGAGAACACCCGAGGGGCCGTGTAGCGACGTGCATCTGTCGGCGTGTGTCATTTTGAGCGTTTGTATGTAGCTTCCTTATGGAGGCCATACACACACATTAGGTTTTACATGATTGTTTTAGCCGTGCATGCATAACCGACATGCATAACCGAGTTTCATATTGCACACACACGTTAGGGTTTGCATGTACAGTTTTGCCATTACTCTCAGTTGAGCTACGTGACGGTGTGTGTAGAACGCCTATTAAGTACTGTGAATGGAAAATTTTTTTTAATCACATCTTCTTTCGTAGCTGTGGGCACTAATTCCTTGACCTTAGTTATCAATCTCTGGTATTCTTTGCACTTTACGCCAAAGACAAGGTTCCGACTTATAACTTTCTATAAATTCTTCTAATGTTGCATTGCGCTTGCGACTAGCCATTTTCGAAACGACGCGATGATGCTCGGACCTTCCGCCGTCGCAACAATTAAAAACTGAGAACTGTGACAGGCAAGCTCACCGGACGCCACACACGCTCGGTTATGCTCGCACGCATGCATAACCGAGTGGCATAAAATATCAATTTTGATATTTGTTCGGTTGCATGTACATGCACCGATAACTGTACAGTTTTATCACATACACGCTAGGGTTTGCATGTCGGCTATGCATGTACATGCATAACCATCATGCAAAACCTAGTGTGTATGGCCTCCATTACTGTTAGATTTATATTCTGTAGCGTTATGCAGAACTGGCAGCAAAAGAAATCCATGCGCAAGACCCAGAAGCTAGCTTTTCAGTGTTGAGAGTAAAAGTCTATAACCGGACATTTGGAAACGCGCGCATGGTTGCGGTAGTGCAATCTGCATCATTACGCAGATTTCGCCATAGAAAGGCGCGTGATTTGCAACATAGCGCGTGAATGCATTTTCTGTGTGTTGCATTAGGCGTATTTTAATGCGAAGAGCCTTTCAAGCAACGTAAGAACTGCGTTACTTTAATTCAAAGCGCCTTTCAAGATAAGAACTGCGTGATGCGGTGTGCGAATCGTTTTAGTGCAGCTTGTGCGTAGTACAGGGGCGCAGCCGCCTCAGGGCCGCCAACTGCCACTCGCCTCCATTACATTTTGACTGCGCGCCTACTAGAGGGCGTAACGGTAATGATTGCACGCGGGCGCTACATGGACTAGATACACTTCTGCTCAAGTTGCAGCATTGGTGCTCTGCCAGCCCCGTAAGGTGTATATGGCCTTCTTACTCCACTGCAGAAGAACAGGTCTTCCCTTTGGATATGCGCGGGCCTACCTGCGCACGTCTGCGGGGTTCCCGTAATACCTCGGGAGACCCCTGCCTTGGAACCCCGGCGAGGCCGGGAAGCTTCTGGGTGCGGAGCCGTGGTAGAATCCATTACGGGGACCCCGCGGCTTCGCATTAAGCAGTGTAGAAGGTATTCGCAGGACTTTTTTAGCGGATATTATGCTGTGAAGCGCCCGTAAGAGTTGCGGGGTGGTCAGCCACTCGGGTCCGTAAGACTTGCGGGAGCCAGGTGTGAGGTCCGTTCGGCGGTGTGCCTCTTAAAGGCGCCGTCGTCTGTAAAAAGATTTTTTACCTGCGTTTTAAAAAAAAAGGCCTTCCCTTTGGTTGAAACATAGAGAATGGGCCGAAGTCTGACACCCAAACAAGCGGGTGCGTATCAGCAAAATATTTTGCTGCAAATTGATGGGTTCTAACGTGATTCAATTTATTGTCAGAAATATTTGATTCAATTAATTTGTATGTGAGAGGTGACAATACAACATTAAATAACTTTTATCCTCATTATTGTTCCCGACTATTGATAGAAATAGTTAACCATGATTTTTGAATTTAAAGAAATCATATAACTATTTTATGTGTTTTTACAAGCTTTTATTTAACTTGCACTGTTCGTATGTAATTACATAGCTTCAAAATTTGTAAATCATTTTTCGACCACTTCTTGTTATCCGTACCCTTAGTACGAGTTTGAGCGCACGAAAACTATCATAGTTTTCGTAATTGTAAATTATGTTTCTTTGTGCATTTTCGTGAAAAGTGTCCAAATATACTTAAAATTTAAGAAGACACAAATGATTTAATGGTAGTATTAAAACACTATTTATTTGTATTGAAACGAAAACAATAAACTCAACGAGTGCGAGCTCACGAAAACTATCATAGTTTTCGTAATTGTAGAACTCGTACTAAGGGTACCGATTCAGCTGAAATTTGGCATACTTGTGATTATCTGGTGACATTGCAAAAATATGGTATGGTACGTTATAATAGGAACATCTGTTCTGATGATATGTTGCCATAGGAACTCTGTAATGAAACGAAGCAACCCCATCAAATTTGGGCTCGTTTGATTCGTTTTGATGAGCACTTTGCCTATATAAAAGACTTGCGGCTGATCTTGAGCAAATTGGAACCTGATATCAACAAACTTATTAAACAGCATCAGATTCATCCTTCACATTAGTTTGTTTATTAGAATCGCTTATGTTTGTTTAATTTTGAATAAAAGATACTCTGTCGAAATACTATAAAGTTGCATTTCAATAATCGTGCTCATTGGCAGGTGTAGCCCGTAAAAGTTAACTTAAAACTTGAACGCCGTTGTGAACTACCTACTGTGCTCAGGTTACAAGTTAACTCTTGTGGGTTATAGTGAAAGTCTCGTTTAGAATTTTTGAAAACATATTTTTATAAAAAAAGAATTTGTAAATATACTTTTTTAAACATACCTTACGTTCTTGGAATGTAATTTAAAAAAAAGTCAAAGAAGTAATAATAATAATATTCTTATATACATAAACTAGAAATGACGATTTATGCCAGTAAAGCAGGGCAGAAATACTAAAAATTGAAAATAAAAACACTTAAAAAAATTATAAAAGAGCTCTTATTACCTGTTAACAAAAATAAATACAAAGTTAAAAATAATTTAAGTCGAATGTAAAATATACCATTTTTAAGGTGTACTGTACATTATGTCCCACGTTTTTTAATTGAAGCTTGTTACGTAGCGTGCGTAAAATAGAGGATATTTTATTCATTTTAAAATCGTTCGAGAGTAGCATAATATTTCCTCGTCTGTATCGTAAGTTTTTTCCCGAACCAATGTAATCTGGACATCTTCAAGTCCAGAGTGAACAGACATCTTCTAGGCAGGCGTGTACCATCTTAGGCCTCATCGTCGCTTTCCATCAGGTGAGATTGTGGTCAAACGCCTTGCCTATTAAGCATTAAAAAAATGTCCTTAATTTGGTATATGATATGGTCACAGCCGTGTCACGTGACAAGCACTCGTTACTTATTCCTGTAACTGTAGTTGTCTGGCTGGCTTAGTATACTTGATGTCAATAACATTGTACGTCCATACCATGATTTATATTTCCGTAATTTGTGCATGTTGCATCTTCGGCCAAGTGTTAGCAGGTGAGTAACTACTTACATACTTGCATAATATGTAAACATTTAGTACATTCAACCTTTGTGTACCATGAAATTAATGATGACGTATTAATATACATTGGTGTAAACATGGCTCCATAGCTACACCTCTGCGACACCAAATTTGACGTTGATTAAGTTGGTTTATGATGTTGTCCCGAAACAAAAGGCACGTCCACGAAACCTATTTAGTATTTGAGTACTAATAATTCAGTTTACAATCAAGCAATAAGTTAACAGGGACAGCAAATCAAACACAATAGTTTTCAAGGTAGCCCAGTCCATTGATGGGATTTTCTTGATCTTCACGGGATTGTTAGAAACTGACACGGAGTTTTAATTTTTGGTGTACTCGTGTAGTAAGTGCCATGAAATTACGGATTCATGCTGTATAATTTGAAATTTCACTTGAAAATTGATTTTTTTTATCGTTAGTACTCAGTAAGTTCTTGAAGTTTAGTCATATGTATATACGTCCCATAATCCGATCGCTGCCACACACACATTTGAGTTTTACTGAAGTAAGCGTATAATTAAGGCTTTGTCAATACAAAACTTTGATTTTTTCAGAAGTCAATATGACTATATAATATAACTATATAATATGACTATATAAACTATTCTGGATAATAATGGAGACAAAACAACAAAAACATTCATGTGCTCGAATGATTCCAATACGTTGCATGTTCAAGTATTCGATACTGTTTACTTCAATTTAATAAGCAACTTGTACATGAACTATTTTTGGTGAGTATTTATTAAGAATTTGCTATCATATATTCGGCTTGTTGTTTGATGCAACGGCAGCGATCCAGACTTCCTGTTCAGTTTGTTCCCGAGACATGGCTGTTTATTAATTTGTTACTAGCTGTACCCTGCCAAATCACCCTGTCCATTTGAGGAAAGAGGTTCTGTAGAGAGTCAATCCTCGCGAATTATCTTTAGGTTTCCTAAGGTGAGCTTGCAGTCATACATTATTATATCCGTTAACGCAGCGCATGCTACGGAATCTCTGAAAAGGAATATTTTCCCCAATTTTGAAATCATTTTTCAAAGACGCTCCTGTCTTATTGGTCGTAGCATGGCTTTCTACTTTGATAAATGGATTATGCAACACAACACAACAGAAATTCAATCCATTTCAATAGTTCTTGAGATTAGTGCGTTCTACCAAACAAAGACTCTTCAGTTTTATGATGTTAATAATACTGAAGCTTCTGCTTGCGACTTCGTCTGGGCAGAATTATTACTTCGAGTATTCTATTTGCTTCTCCTGCGTCCCGTATATGTTATCAAATTTTATTGTTTTTTCGATTCACTATTTTAGCTGATAGCTTACACATAAACGATAGACATAATATGCTAATGCAAACTTTTTGTAGAATTATTTGAGATTTACATTTCCACAAAAACCGTAAGAGTTACATGAATAATGTAACTCTTACTGTTTTTGTAACACATGCCGGAAAAGCTTGCAGATGGGAGAAATTTTTCATGCTCTTCGGTATTTCTGTTCACCTCTTCCTCGGTGGAAATGCTATTATGCCAATTCGATTGCGAGTTGAAAAGACTCATTAATGAGGCTTCGTACTTCTAGGAAATGAGCGAGCTCATTTTTACTCCTTTTAATCTTTTGTCATTTTCGCTGGACTCTGTTGGAGGAGAGATGTATTCATTTTTGTAGTACGAGGTAAACGGAGTCATTAATGGACTCGTTCCGCTCGTGGTGGTCCTTTTGCAGCTTAATAGGTTTTCCAAACAGGTGAGTATGCAGGGAGTAACCTACGTTATATACTTACCATACTGTTTCCTTTTAAGTATAAGAGTAATATGTATTTTTATTGTGGGTACTGTTTGGGACAATTTGAGAACTACATTTTATATTTGACATTCTTAAAATGCCTACCGAGATTCTATGATAAGTATGCTAGGCGTAGGTACACCTGGCTGCCGAAACTGCCTCAGCATTACCAGCTTGGTGCTATTAAGAATAAAACAGCCCCTGGATATTCTTAAGTTTGCCTCGGTATGGTCATCAGCTGTCAAATGACCCTTACGATGGTATACCACTAATTTGATGTAGATATCCCACTTAAATTGAACTCTTTATGTTTTTTAAAAGATAAATTTGATTTTAGGTGTTATAATGGCAAAGGGCAATTTACCTTAAAGGGCGATGATTACAAGAACATGACTTCTGCAGTAAGTATAAATATAAAATTTCTTTTTTTAATTGTTGATTGCGGATAGTATGACCGACTTACGAGATTTTTGAACCCCTGACTAGTGGAAAAACATTCTGTTCTTCCATCTCATATCATAATCTCATAACTTTCACTTCTACACGTTTTGAAAGGGCGAGAACTGGTGGACGATGATGAGATTCGAGATCTTGGTATTTTATATGACTCTAAATTAACATGTGAGAAACATATAACTAAAAAGGCTAGAAAATCTTTGGGCTTTGTGATTAGAGTTTGTTCAGAATTCAATAACATTAAAGAGCTGAAAATTTTATATTGTTCTTTGGTGCGAAATATCCTCGAGTACGGGTCTCAAGTTTGGGACCCTTGTAATAGCGCTGACATTGGCCGACTTGAATCAGTTCAGAGAAGATTCTTAGGATACTTACAATACAAGAGTAGGACTTATGACTCTAACTACGAGGAAAGGTGTCATAGACATCACATCCTGCCCCTGAGTGAGCGAAGAAAAATAGCGGATATAGTATTACTGGCAAAAATCGCTCAAAGTGTCATTGACTCGCCGGATTCACTGTCAAAAATAAGTATAAAAATCCCCAACAAAACCGTTAGGCGATATGTACATACATTTAGATGTTCCCCAATGTGGTACTAATTTCAGACGAAACTCTTTTTTCGTCAGGTCTGCAAAAGAAATTAACAAACTAGTAACTTTCCCCCAACTTGACTTATTTATAACTAAACCACAAATACTTAAAAATACCTTAGTCAGTTCTTGGTTTGCTGATTTTCAAACTGCCTAGCTTAAATAATGCATGATTTAAGCGTCGCTTGCTGCTATATTTCAATTATCTCTAGTCTTATTACTTTCCTATATTTTTCACTGTGGCACTGCTTGTATAGTTTCAACGACGAGCTTTGTATTGTAAGTCATATGCGAAAACGTCTTAATGGTGTCTAGTTTTACATTTACTTATAATTGCTGTTAAAAAAACACTGTAAGCAAAGACAATTTAGTATGGATAAACGGAATAGTTGCCCTATTTTAAAAGACACCATTCTTCGAAAAAATCTTTCATTAAAATGTATGATTTTCTTTTCCCTGTAGTTACCAACTTTTTTACAAGAGAAAGAGATATAGCGAAATCCTTAGTCCAAGAACACCACCAGTGTAATGTAGTAACAGGTACTCACCGGTGGGATGTACTAAATGTACTGCATCTCTGTCCGAAATTTGGATTAAAATATGAGTTCTATCAAACGGCACGCATAGCATCGGATCGGAAAGGATACGAACGGATGCGGTGACATCCGATCGCGTCCGGCAGCATATGACTCAAGTGACGGAAGCTCCGCACGGTTTTTTCGTTCTCATCTAATGAAATATTGAAATATCTTAGAATGAAATGCAATGAAATAATACTTTGTACAAATTAACTTATTGGAAGCTCTGCTGAATGGTCCATTATTAATGTTATGTCTATAGTTATGGCATGACAAAATGAAATAGGGTGTTATTTCTATATTTTAATAGGTGTAGAATAGTCCCAATTTCCCTCGGTGGCGCCGTAACTTGAGAATGACTGTAACACTGTGTTTCACCGTTTTGTTCACAGCTGTTTCAAGTAACGGATACTTTGGCAGGACAATGGAATTGTTCGATTTATACGAAGAAAGACGTGAAATATATTGAGAACAGGAGCGTTAACTATTTAGGTCATAATTACCTGAAATTTACATGTCAAATGACATTATATGTAAAACGTGAGTACCTGATAAACTGTTCCACTTCGTCTCGTTTGCCGTCAGTTTAATGAATATACATTAATTACTATGAAACAACATCGAGGAGCTCGACGGCGCAAGTGGTTAGCGCATTCGGTCTGCAATCGTGGAAGTGCAGTAACTCTCTCAATAGCCGGTCTTAGTATGGGTGACTAACTATTTATTATCTAGAACTCCTCCAAGCTTCGGGAAGGCACCTCAAGTCGTTGATCCTGGCTGCATCTGCAGTTGTTGCTATGGGTAAGGTTTGTGCCCCTTACCATTTGCGCTATCGAGCTTCTTATGAAATTTTATCTGAATATAATATGAATCATTACTCGTTCCTTTCAGACAAGCTCTTATTGACAATTTTTAGTGCGAAAGACAAACGTTTTACGCAAGAGCACTTTAAAAATGGTGTCTACCATTACAAAGAGGGTGATCACTTCACCTTTTCCTGTAGTTGCCTTTCTGTTAAGAGCAGTGTTCTACCGAAGGGAACATCACTTAGAATTTTTCAAATGCGTGGTAAGTGAGTACTTATTAGGTGACAAAATATTACGTGACGGGATTGCATGAAATGCCAGGACAGTGGGCAAACCCAGCTCCGCCAACAATGTAATTAGTATGAATAGAAAGATCTATGAAAAAATAGCCTTTTTTATTATGACACTGAAAAAATATCATGGTAATTGAAAGATATGACACATGGCCATATACAAGTAGCTAAATAAATTCATTTAATAGTATCTTAATTTTATATTAAAAGTATCACATCTTACTATAAAACCAGAAATACGACAAAACCTGTCGATTATTCTGCGCTTGCACTTACTGAGACACCTCAAAACAGTTCACGGGGTAGGGGTACGGTGGTTGAAGGACTTGCAGTTACAACTAGTCAACTCATAAGCAGTCCTTCGTCTTACTTCGTTGTGATTGTGCGAAAAATCAAGTGACAATCACTTGATTTTTAACTAACACGCTTTAGACATTTGGAACACGATTATCGGTTTAATGAATTGGTATGGATGATCTGGAATCATTTTATCGCGCGGAAATTATAAATTGGGAAATTTAACTTTTTTGTTTATTAATGAAAACATAAAATAAATTTTAATATTTGTAGAAATTTTATATATGTACATACATGTGTATAATGTACATATATATATATTCGTGACGTTTTAAAGGTCATATGCGACCAACAGCATACACACTAAATAAAATGCGAGTGTGCTTTTGACCACACAACTGAATTGAAACTTCTTTAGCTCCATCTGTATATAAATATATATGTATATATATATATATATATATGACAACCTCCGTGGCCGAGTGGTTTATACGCCGGGTTTCATGGTGTCGCCGACTCGAGAGGTCCCGGGTTCGAATCCCAGTGGGGGCAGATGTTTGTGTAATGAATACGAGCATTTGTACTCCAGTCATGGATGTTTAATATGTATTTCTATATAAATATACTTATATATGTACAGTACATGTATTCTATCCGTTACCCTAGCATCCCATAACACAAGCCTTATAGTGCTTACTTTGGGGCTAGGCAAATTGGTGTGAGTGTTGGAAATATTAATTTATTATTTATTATATATATATATATATGCAAAATATTTTAATATTTATTTTATAAGTAATAAGGAAAGATAAACTTTTAACCAGTAGGCCAAAAATGATGCCTATTCCGTCTCTTTAGAGCACTATTAGGATATACTGTTTTCAAGTTTACAGATAGCTAATAAGAAAAGCCATGTTGATGTGCTAGGATTTAAGATTGCGACTGCGGCTTAACTAAGTTTAAATTTTTCCAGATAAACTAACAGAACTAAAAAATTCAACTGATTTGAATAATATAAGCGCCAGTTTCACATTATGGAGGAGAGATAATTATTCAAAGATAATATGTTCATATCAAAGTCTCGATAGTAGGGTACACCTACTTACTTTGTACTTAGTTTTAGTACCTGATGGTGAGCACAACTTAATTTAATAATAAATTGATAAATTCAGCTTGACATTACATACATTTTTATAATATATATTGATAAGCGAAATGTGTTAAGTACATTAGTATATTGGCAATACTGGTATAATGAACTCTTGAACGACACTTACTACAGTCAAGTAGAAGATAAGAAGATGCAGGCAGAAGATAGTAAGTACAGAGTTTCTCAAAATTATTTTAAAAAGTTTGTAGAATGACCAAATCCAAGTATCTGAGCTCAAAAACCAAAAATAGTAATTACAAAATAAAAATTACCTACGGTATAATATCCGCAAAAAAAGTCCTGCGAACACCCTCTAAGCTGCTTAGCGCGAAGCTGCGGGATCCCCGTTTAGGGATTCTTCCGCGTCTCCGCACCCAGCAGCCTCCCGGCCTAGCCGGGGCTCCACGGCAGGGGTCTCCCGGGGTATCACGGGGACCCCGCAGACGTGCGCAGGTAGGCCCGCGCGTGGGGGCTAAGTACGCGGCCTAGTGCCCACCGTACCGTCCGTTGCGGAGGGCTTCTTGAGCGTACCCGTCCAAGCAGCCCTCCGCCGCCCCCCCTTGTAGGACAAAACTACAAGAAGGGGGCCGCCGTTCCTGAGAGGGGGGAACGGGAGGGGAAGCGTAGTTCTTCCGGTCCCTCTCCCCCCCTCCCGGTCGCCCACATCTCCTAGCGTCTTCTCCTGGGAGAAGAGGAGGGAAACGCGGGCGACAAATAAAAATTACCTGGAATATTATCAATAATGAAACTGGAAAGTCTAAAATTAGAAAGACAGATTATAATCTATACATTAGAAATAAAAAAGTCACATCAGATATTGAAGTTGCCACTGAATTTGACTGTTTTTTATTACTGACATTCCAGTTTCAACTGCCAAACCTTTGAGTCGCTCTTCCATTGAAGCCGAGTCTTTTTTAAAAGAAAGTATGATAAGTTGTTCAACTCAGTTTTAATTTCGACGAGCGTAGCCTTGCTGCAGGGACCGCAGAAAATAGTGGCGCAAAGGGCTGCGCGAGCCTATTGCACCACATAATTTGCGGCCTCCTACTTAATAACAGGGTCCCCCCCGTGGGCGTTGGAGGTGAACGCCCTGTCCCGTTTGTATTGGGAAAGGGCAGAGGCCTGGCAGAAGGGGGAACGACTGGCCCCCGAGGATCGAGAATCCTCGCCCACAGGCAATGGCTGGAGGAGTTAGTCCTGGAGAAGTGGGATGAGGAGCTCGGGACGCAGCAGTACAGAACCAGGACCCCGGAGACACTGCGAGCGGTATACAGCCAATGGAGGGAGAGAAGGCATGAGTCTCTGACCTTCCATCTATGGATGTTTCGGCAGTTACCTGCATCGCATATGGAGGGAAGCGACCCCATCGTACCATCATTGTGGCGCCGTCGGGGACACGGTGCAGCACACCCTTGAGGAGTGCCCGTTGTGGTCCCAGCTGCGCCATGATATTGTCATGGCGATAGGACGGGATCTCTCCCTGCCCAGCGTAGTAAAAGCGATGCTGGACAGTGACAGATCCTCTAGAAGGAGAAAGCGGTCACAAAAAGATTTTTTCTATTTGAATCAGTAATTCCTGAGATAAGCGCGCTCAAGCAAACCAACAAACAAACAAACTATTAGTATAGATTTGTTTAACACGCCCGTTAACAAGCATAAGTATACTAAAACGGAAATTGACTTTTTATTTTAGTATGTTTACACTTAACCATTTATTTAATAAAAACACTTTTGGAACTTCCATGAAACACCAAATACCTATATAATTTTACATTATTCGGTTAAATATGAATTGGTGTTTGGAAAAGAGTGTTTTATTAAAATATATTGACATTAGCGTACACCTGTAAGTCTAAACCTTAAGGAAATTTGATTTTTGAACATACTCCAACCGATTTACTATCCCACAAAGTTTTTTGGGACGTAACCTTTTTATTTGATTACTAGTGGCCCGCCCTCGCTTCGCTTCGGTGTAGAGCTGTAGTGTAAACTATAGTTTTTGTTCTCAGGCTTGTGCTATAAACAATGACTTTATTTATATAATTACACGTGTTATTGTGAGTCAACCACAAAAGATAGACATATGCTGTTGCGGGATATTTTTTAGACAATGTTATGTAGAATATTTCCGTCATACATGATTTCTATGTAACTTTAACCATTAAGGCTGCACACGCGATGGAAGCTTAAAAAATGGAGTAACTTCTCCCGTTTTCCCAACATTTCCCTTCACTACTCTGCTGCTATTGATTGTAGCGTGATGAAAAGTATACTATAACCTGCCCAGGAGTATGAAAAATAATTGTACCAAGTTTAGTTAAAATCCGTCGAGTAGTTTTTGTTTCTATAAGGAATATACACACAGACAGACAGACAGACAGACAGACAAAAAATTTACTGATTGCATTTTTGGCATCAGTATCGATCACTAATCACCCCCTGATAATTATTTTGAAAATATATTTCATGTACAGAATTGACCTCTCTACAGATTTATTATAAGTATAGATAAGATATAGTATTTTTTATTTTTAGAACCTCCAAAAATTACGTTGGCAGGCGGGAAAGGAAAATTTTATGAAACATCGGTTTCTAACTACATTTACGAAGGTACAACGAATGATACCATAACTTCTTTGATTTGCTCGAGGAAACAAACTGATGGATCTTTACAGTGGGTTTTCTGTTCTAACAAAACAGGCAAGTACCATATTTATACACCATCACCATCAGTAATAGTGGGTTACACAATGTTTCAAAGTTCATTATCTTTCAATCAGTTAAGTCAAGACAAGTACGCAATGATAGTTAATAGACTGCGCCATCGTAAATCTGCAGCAGATGGCCTTGTACTGAGAAGAACCGGTAAGAACTCTGCAAGGGTTGTTTTTTCCCGATATCTAGTCGAATTATTGACTTTATTTTATGATTTATAAATTCGCTTCCCATTACAGAAATTTAGGTATTAATATACTTACTTATTTGGAGGTGCTTATCATATATAAGCATGCAAATCAGTGCCCCTGTTCTCTACTCCAAATGTTTCGGGTTCGAGTCCTGGTGGAATATTTGTAAATTCCCGACGCATTAAACACCCAAGCAATCAGGAGTTGCTTCGTTAATAGCGATTAATACGTCACTCATTTACAAAACCTAGAGTTTTGTGTAATATTGTAACTAGCAAACGTCTCTGACTATCGAAATCAATAGGTCGAGTTAAATAAGATTAGGACTTGTGATCAATTATATTTTCACTTTATACAAAAGACCAAATAAATCGAAGCTCACACAGATGATTATTTTTTTTTCAAGGAAAAAAACCTCTTAAAAATATCTTACTTATAACAAAGTATGCCTTGTTATAACTAAGAGATTTTTAACATAATTAAGAATATTATGCGATTGCATATTTTTATTTTTCACAGATGACACCTGTATGACGACTGTAAAGAACAAACAAAGCCAAACTATTACACTTGACAATTTTTACCTCTCGCCAGAACTGAATGGTACAGACGTTAAGTGTATCTATACGAGCCCAGTGGGTGATCAATCTAAATCTACAATCTCACTCAATCTAACTGAGGAGAACCACCACAATAAAGGTAACAAATAAATTTATAATATAAATTATGATTGTGTACTTTACACACAGTACGCCCAGTTAGCAAAATTTGATCTTACAAATATCCTAAGACCATCTTTCTTTACTCTTATATTAAAATGTTGAATGTGGAATAAGGCGCTCTTTATTTATTCCTATGACTGCAATAAAGTGGTCTTATTAAGCGTTTTTAGTCTGACGAAAATCTAGCTTAACAAATAACTTACAATAATGTCATATAGTAGCAAGCTGCAAGGCCAATAAATCTTTGAGTGATCCGTTAAAACTTGTATTCCTCTCAGTGATGACATTAGTAAGAATAATCAAGCAACCAGCGAGTGACGCATTATGTATAATTTTGATATTTCATTAATTATTTAAGCCAGCATATTAGTCCCTTGAGAACGTGTGTCCTATATAATAAAAAAATCTGCAAAGGAGACAGTTCATCGACAGTTTTATAAAGTAAGGAACTATATATTCACGGGCCCCTTCTATTATACATATACCTAAAATATAAAGAATTTGTTTATTTTTTTTATGAATTTATAATTCGTGAGTCAAACGCCATAGTTCATTTTAAGAACCGATTAAAAGAGAAATTTCTCCTCTTCGTGATTAGACTAAGACTTATTTATCCTTATTAACACTTCTTACGTCTCGTTTAAGTTTTTTCAACAAAAAAAGTCTGTCTTTTTTTTTCAGAATCAGAATTTTATTTGTGAAACATAGGTTAGTGTATACATGGTATATAAAATTTTTGTTAGTATCACTACATTTCCACTTTAATTAAGGTATACAAATAGATATGGACCTATGAAAGAAGTACTATTATTTTTACATTGGAATCACAATTTATGAATATAATTTGAAATTGTCTATTGTTACATGCATGTCAAAGTAGGTATAAATTAATTATAAATTTGATAAACCATAAAGTTGTCTACTAATAGTAAAAATTTTAATGGAACAATAAGCAAAATGGCCAGAATAGCAGTAAACACACATTTCTTAACTGGATTGTCAATTTTAATATGTCTAAATTTTTTAATAGAGAACGAAAGAGCTTTTAAAAAAGACATGTCCGATTTAATTACAGGATTTGTCATTTGAAAATTCCTCAACTGTATAGTAGGCTTTTTCAACTAATAATACTAACAGACGCTTCTTAAAAGTCTTTATCGGTAGTGATTTAAGACAACTCGGAATCTTGTTGAATATTCTGTGAGCCATCCCAAAGAAGCTATTACTAACGTGTACGGTTTTATAAGAAGGAGCGCAAATCCTATTCCAGTGACGATGATTTCTATCAGGGTTCTTTTCTGAGAGTGTCGGAAACAGAGAATTGTTACATAACACAAAAACAGCTACTTCATTAATGTACAGCGAGGTAGAGTCTGGATTTTCATGTTTATGAAAAATGGTTTGCAGCTATCCGTCGATTTGAGGCAATTTATCGCTCTTATACACCTTTTCTGATGTTTGAATAATAGAGTTTTATTCACAGAATTTTCTCAGAAAATTATTTCATACCATAAGATACATTCAACATAACCTCGGTATGCATTGAAAACAGTGTCCCTATTAGACACCTTGGAGAGTTTGTATAGAGCGTAAATTGAACTACTCGCTCTCTTACTTAATTTCTCAGTGTGAGATTTCCAATTAACCTGATAATCCATATGCAGACCTAAAAAATTCGTTTCAGAAACAGATTCAATATCCTCACCATTGCACTTTAAATTTACTGAGGGTATTTCAATCTTTTGTCTGAAGTGTTTGTTACTTTTGTTTTTTTACTATTCAGGCACAAGTTATTTTGGACTATCCAATGATTAAGTTTTTCCATAGCATTTGGTCAATTAAACACTCACACTCACTTATACCTTTTATTTATCACTATAGAAGAACACTAGGGAGTATCAAAATATATAAACATCTTATACAAATGACCAAAGCACACCGATAGCGTGAGGTAACTGGGTACTAACGACATCTATCGGAAACTTGTGAACTAAAATTCTTATTTCTATTATTAATTAAACATTCCGCCGGCCAAGGACGACTCAAGTCCTTAAAACCTGACGACAAGATATAAACCAAAGCAAAGTAAAACAAATTTCTGGTACTAGGAGTCAGACTCATCCAGGGGCAAAGGACATATTTTTACCATAGGTCGCTTAAAAATATTGTCCTTGTACTGTAAAGTTACAACTCTTGTAACACCATCAGCACCTGGGTGTTTCTGCATAATACGTCCCAAAAGCCATTTTCCAGGGAGAAGTGTGTCATCCTTGACGAGAACGACAGTGCCGAGGGGAAGATCAGGTCGCTTTATGTTCCATTTGTAACGATGCTGTAACGTAGTTAAATATTCGTTTTGCCAGCGACGCCACAAACAGTGCACCATACGTTGGATTATGTGCCATCGATTCAACGGACTTAAGTTAACATCAATCAAAGACGGCTCAGGAACCCCAATTAAGGGCTCTCCGACAAGAAAGTGACTTGGTGTTAATGGGGGTTCGTCAAGAGTAGAATTGATAAGAGTGAGGGGACGAGAATTTACACAAGCTTCGACTTGGGCTGATAAAGTAGCGAGCTCTTCGTATGTGAGGAAGGCTTGGCCGATAACCCGTTTTAAGTGTCCTTTAATACTTTTCACTCCTGACTCCCAAATTCCACCAAAGTGTGGAGCTCGAGGAGGTATGAATCTCCATTGCGTGAAATCATTAGCGAGAAGTTCAGAAATCTCAGCCACAAGTTGAGATTGTGAATTATTGAACGCGAGATCTAGTTCACGGGACGCGCCTACAAAATTAGTTCCGTGATCACTCCAAATCTCCTTGCAGTGACCACGTCGAGCGGTGAAACGCCGAAAAGCGGCAATAAATGCAGCAGAAGTGAGGTCAGTGACAAGTTCCAAGTGAATGGCTTTTGTTACGGCACAGACAAATAGACTAATATAGACTTTACTGGTTTTCTTACATCTACCAGGATACAATTTCATTGTAAAGGGTCCACAAAAGTCTACTCCACTCGTAAGAAAGGGTCGGCTAGGTTTAATCCTGAATTTAGGTAAATCTGACATAAAAGGAGGGAGTGGATTAGCCTTCTGTCTAAAACAAGGGACACATTTGTGGATTACAGTTTTGACAAGACTTTTAATTCGAGTGATCCAAAACCTTTGTCTTACAATATTTAAAGTAAGTTGATTGCCTCCGTGCAGAGATTTCAAATGCGCATTTACAACAATAAGTTTAGATAAGGCACAAGTGCCACTTAACAAAATCGGGTTTTTCATGTCGCCTGGAATCTCTGCATTCGCGAGTCTACCACCAACACGAATAATGCCTTTACCGTCGATAAAAGGGTCTAGTACATAAATCTTACTTGATTTGGCAACCTGTTTACCTAGCGTTAAGCGAGAGATCTCGTCGCGGAATGACATCAATTGTGATAGTTTAATACATGGATTAAAAGCATCATCAAGCTCATTAGCGCTCAAATAAGCAGGTTCAGTAAACATTTTCTTAAGCACTCTAACCTTACATAAATTATAATAACGACAACAATAAGCAATGACTCGAATCAATTTCGACAGCGAGGAGAATCGAGTTAAAATTGTAATAGCATCATTATTTTCGGTAACATTTACATTGCATAATATTTTTGGGGTGGGTTTCATTTCTAAATCGGTTTGAGAAATCTCAAATAAAGAATATTCAATTTCATGTGCCTTGTACAAAAACTGAGGTCCGTTCCACCATAGTTTTGACTGTTGTAGATTATAAGGATAACATCCACGTGATGCTAAATCAGCGGGATTATTTGCAGAACTAACATGATGCCATTGGTTACTATTTGTGAGTGTCAAAATTTCTGAAGTGCGATTTGCAACAAATGTAGTCCAAGTATTTGGTATCTTACGCAACCAAGCCAAAACTATCGTGGAGTCTGTCCAAGTGTAAATATCATTGTCAGGTATTTTTAAAACGGTTTTAACATGATTTATCATTTTGGCTACTAGTAATGCACCACAGAGTTCCAGACTTGGGAGAGATACTTGCTTTACTGGGGCAACCTTGGATTTGGCAAGAACAAGGTAAACGTTAATGTTGCCACCATTTCTCAAAACTCTAAGGTATACTACTCCAGCGTATGCAGCACAAGAGGCATCACTAAATCCATGCAGCTCCCGCTTAATGGTGTCATTAGATACACCAAGCCATCTAGGGAACTGAATGTTTTCAATGTGCGTGAAATGATCAAGGTAAGTAACCCATTCCTCTTTAAGATCAGGAGTCAACTCTTCGTCCCAATCCAAGCCGGCTAACCAGAGTTTTTGCATAAAGATTTTTAGTTTTATAATCGCAGGTGTTAGCCAACCTAGAGGGTCGAAAGATTTAGCAATTGTGGACAATAAATTTCTTTTGGTAATTGTGTTATTATCGTGATTTAAATTACAATTAAGTTCAAAGTTATCAGAGTCTGAGTTCCATGTAATACCTAAAGTTTTAATTGTATCTTGAAGTTTTATATTAACCGCACTTTGTGAGTCTTTATCAACACTGGGGATTTGGGACAACACTAACTTACTATTAGAGGACCATTTGTGTAAAGGGAACCCACCACGAGCTAAAAGTTCAGTCAACCTTTGTTGTAGCATCACAGCGTCTTCCGTTGTGGAGACACCAGTAAGCAGATCATCCATATATAAGTCGCTTTTCAGGATTTCAGCTTCAGTTGGGAAATCATTCTTCTCGTCCTCAGCCAATTGGTGAAGAGTGCGTATGGCCAAAAAGGGTGCACAAGATGTTCCATAAGTAACTGTAAGTAGTCTATATTCTTTTATTGGTTGTGTTGGAGATTTTCGCCATAAAATTCTTTGATAGTCAGCGTCATCTTTACATATTAGAATCTGACGATGCATCTGACGAATATCTGCGACTAAACAAATCTGGTGTTGTCTCCATCGAGTTATGAGATCTCTGACATCTT